GCGGCTGCTGCCCCAGCCCGCGGCGAGCTGGAGTTAAATCTCTCGCAGGCCTTGAACAAAAGCGGCGTGGTTGCGCCTCCTCGAATGCCATCTGCAGGGCGGGGGGGGAGGCCGCCGCGCCTTCCCTCTGCTTCGAGTGAACGGGCGGCCGCGCGCTCCCGCGCCCACAGGCGCGCTGTCGGCTCGGGCCCAGGATGTGCCCCAGAAGGGCCGTCTGCGCGCTTTATGAACACCCATGATTCGAGCGTGCTCACCACTGCTGCTCAACTCCCTTAAAAACAAGCGTCGGGTACAGTGAGATGTGCCCCAGGCCATCACAGGCCAGCGCGACATTGAACAACCAAACACACACAAGGACACATTACACAAACAAAGAAACCAAATCTTCAATATTGGAAAACTCCAAAAACAAGGGGATACCAAGAAAAAACAAACAACAACACATCTTCGGAGGCTTTCTCGGTTACGGCGGCGGGGGGGTGGCGTAAGTATTGAAATGTGTGTTTGTTGTTGTTGTTTTTCCCCCTTGTGGTTTTGGAGTTTCCCAGTTTTAAGGCTTTGGTGTTTTTGTTTGTTTGTTTGTTCCTTGTGTTCTTTTCTGGTTTTTCAATGTCGCCTTCCTCTTACTCCTCGCGGAAGGAAGACCTGTCGCGCTGGAATCGGAGGGGCAGGAGGAGGAGGACGAGGAGGAGGAGGAGAGGGGAGAGCAGGGGGAGGAGAAAGAAGAGAGAGGAAACAGAGGAAGAAGCAGAGGGGCAGGGAGAGGTACGATGACATATGAGGAGGAACATGTATGATCATGTGGCGGGGGGGCAACCATATATTTGAATACATATTTATATATATGATATCATATAAACGTATACATACATACTTGGATATATGCACATATGCAAGGCAGCAGTGGCGTTTCGCGCCATGCACCTTGGTCCTTGAAGTCTGGTACGCAAGCGGAATAGCAGGAAGGTCAAGCCGACAAATTAGCGAAAAGTCTTTGTTGCCTTTTCTGGCACCGCCGCTATAACAATATTATTCGTTATCCTTCCTCCATCTTTCGTTTACCTCGTTTTCGCCATACCCTTCGCATTCTCCCCATCCTCTTCGGCTCTTTTTGCGGAAGCTCCTCCTTGGAGAGCCTATGGGGGCCTCGCAAAAGTTTGGTCAAGCTTTCTTAAGGCCTTCTGGAAGTCTCTTGGGCGTGTTCTGGGGGCCTGTGGGGGTTTCCTCGGGTCGCCCTGCCTCCAACCGCGGTCTCCGTGAACGACCGGGTCGAGACCTGGAATGCTTCGGAGGGTGTCTTGGGGCCATCTTGGGCCGACATGGGGCTCTCTGATGGCCATGTTGGACCCCTGCTGTGCCGCTTTTGAGCTCTCTTGGACTGCCTGGAAGCCCTTTGGAATGGTTATGGGGCGATTTTAGAACCTGCCAGGCGGCTTCGGACGCCCAGAAAACCGCCGTTTTGGAGCGTCGGGAAGCCCAAGAGAGGAAACCCCCCAAATTCACAAAAGACCAAAAGAAAATCAATGATTTTTGCCTCTTGGGGCCTTCTCGGGAGTGCTCTTGGAGGCCTCTTGGGACGTTTCGGGACGATCTTTGGGGATATGATGGCTTCTTTGGGGTCGTCTTGAGGTCACGTCGGTCACTCTTGGAGCGCTCTTGTGCTGTCTTCGGGGTCTCTGAAACGTCGCCGATGACCCCCCCGATCGCCCTAGGTGTGCTGGGAAGGTCTGGCAAGACGCCCTGCGAGGCCCAGGGGGCCGCTTCGAGGCCCGTCCGGAGGGCCCCAAAGCCACAGATCCAGGGAACACCATTTTTGTTTTTTTTTGGGGGGGGGTCGGGTTTTCCCCCCGATACATATATATATATATATATATATATATGTGTGTGTGTGTGTGTGTGTGTGTGTGTCTATCTACGCCATAAGACGTCTATACGATCTGTTCAGTTCGGACGTGCGCCTCCAAGGAGGGCGCATAGTACTATAGTGTGCTCTTGTGCATCCCGGAGGAGGAGGCGGCGCCTCAGGACGCTGGCGGTGCCCAGGCTCGGAGGGCGCCAACGGTACACCCACCCTGATCCCGGCCAGGCCGACCCTGTGCCCCGGACCCATCGGGGGCGGCAAAGACGGGGGTGATGACTAGAGGGGGGTGTATATCATGGCGGGGGCCATGATATCTCCCCAGATTTCATGGCGCCCCTTCTTATTTCAATACGTCCTCGGCCCCCCTGGGCCGCGCACGGCCCTTGGACACCCCCCTTGGACACCCCCCTCTTGGCCGCCCACGAACCCAGAGATACAACGTCTTCAAACAATCAAGGCGCAAGTTTTTCGCAGTTTTCGGCCTCTAGGGGCCCTCACCGGGCCCCGGGACCGACCAAAAGACGACCCAGGATGAAACACCAGTCCTGGGGAATCGGTCGAGTCTTCCGGGGGCCCCGTATTGAAAAAAGTACGACATCGGATCTCTGGGGGGGAACCTTGTTTGGCTGCGCAGACGGT